CTTGGTGTTGTCGACAAAAAAATCCATAGTAACATATCAACTTGAAGGAAAAAAGCAAAATGCCAAGACCGCCACAGTGAAAAATCCAGTATTCTCCAGAAGCTGGGATCTTCCCGTAGGTCCTGAAGGAAATCCATGCACAACGGTGCCAAACCGGATCATGAAGCTGAAAGGAACAGAGAAACAAACTGGTAAAATATGTTTCTGGACCTTTGAACAGTACCATATTACAGAATTAGTCATCGGAATATATGCCACCAAAACCAGATTATCCTCTAACCAAAACCTTTCAATACATGCAGTGTGCTGTAGTTACCTGAATCCGTAACAACTTACTGACCACTTATCTATGGAAGGGCACCACTTACCTGCATCGGGTGGGATAATACTCGCCTCCGTGTCCTTAATAAAATCATGACTTTACGTCATGAAATTAGTAAAATCTGGTAATTTTATTTAAGGACACGGAGGCTCATATTATGCTAGTTCAAAGCTGTGACACGACCACCTCTGAAAAATGAGAAACTGGCCGAAAATAAAACTCCTTGAAGGTAGATTCGCGGGACCAATCAGCCGCCCAGAGTAGGTCCTCCAACCTGCATCCTTTGGCGAATGCTTTAGTCGCCATGGCTCCCCTGACCGAGTGTGCTCCATACACAGAAGTGTCGATGCCCGCTAATTTCATAATCCACTTGACCCAACGAGACAATGTGACTGTTGAAACAGGGTGATATGGATGACGAAGGGCTAGGAATAACTCCGGATATGCAGGATCACGAATCGAAGAAGTCCTGGACTCGTATTCCTTGAGACATGCCACTGGGCATAGCTTAGAGTTATGTGGAAAGGCCGGGTAGAAAACTGAGGTGATTGACGTCTTCGTACGCCTGGAAATATTAAACGAGACACCTTCGGGGGTGAATGAATGGGCAGAGAGGTCCAACGCACGCACATCCGACACCCGCTTACAGGAGATCAAAGAAAACAGCATCGCCAGCTTTGCTGTGAGTTGTTTCAGTGAGAGATCTTCGTTCCTTGGCCAATCTCCCAGAAGCTGGAGGACAAGGTCAACATCCCATGATGAAGAGTATTTAGGTTGCGGTGGGCGTGCAACTCTAATGCCGCGCAGGAGTCGGCATACGAGGAGATGTTTACCTGCCGGGGCACCATCCAACCCTTGGTGGCCTGCGGAAATAGCCGATCGGTACACATTTATCGTGCGATAGGCTAGGCCATGGTCAAACAGAGAAGTGAGAAATCTCAAAACGTGACTTATAGGTGCCGATAAGGGATCCATGTGTTGTTCCATGCACCAACCACTCCATGAATTCCAGGCATGTAAGTAGGATTTCCTTGTTCCCGGAGCCCAAGCTCCCGCCAGAAGGTCAATAGTTGTTTGTGGAACGTCCGGGATGAATCCAAGTCCCCGGAGAGGAGCCATGCCAGTAACTGGAGGTGTCCCTGTAATAGTAGGGAGTGCGGTTCCCCGTTGGGGTCCAACAAGAGGTCCGGAGAGGTTGGAATCAGTCTTGGGTAGTCCATGGACATCTCCATGAGTGTAGGGAACCATGGTTGAGCCATCCAGAATGGGGCGATGAGAATCATGGAAGTTCGGTAGCGCCTGAGATGTAGAAGCGTCCTCGCAATCAATGAGAAAGGAGGAAAAGCGTACGCTCGTGTGTCCGGCCACTGTTGAAGGAAGGCATCTGAAGCCAATGCCTCTGGATCCGGTCTCCAACTGAAGAAACTCGGGAGTTGGGAGTTCAACCGTGAAGCGAAGAGGTCGATCTCTAGTCGGGCCCCAGAGTGTCTGGAGTTGCAGGAAAATGGCCCGCTTCAGCCGCCAGTCGCTGGCATCCCGTAGGTATCTGGAATTCCAATCCGCCACCATATTGGACATCCCGGGAATGTGCTCCGCCTGAACCGAAATATTGCGATCCAGGCAGAAGTGCCAGAAGTCTTTTGCTAGTTCCGCTAACACCACTGACTTCGTACCCCCGAGATGATTGATGTAGCGGACCGCTGACACGTTGTCCATCCGTAAAAGAATGGAACAGTTGGTTGAGATACCTACAAGACTCCGAACTGCAAATGACCCCGCCAAAAGTTCGAGGCAATTGATGTGTAACTCCTGTTCGTCTGGGGACCATTTCCCTCTGGTGGAGATAGGACCGCAACGCGTGCCCCAGCCCAGCAGACTTGCATCCGATTCCACGACGAAGTCCGGCCTCGTCCCAAAGATTGCTCTTCCGTTCCATGCTTCCATGTACTGCAGCCACCAAGAGAGTTCTTCTTTGGCAGCACAATCGAGAGGTACAGAGTCTGAATAGGAGAGACCTGACCGAAGGTATTTTGCCTTTAGGCGTTGAAGGGCCCTGTAGTGAAGTGGGCCTGGGAAAATGGCCTGGATGGAGGCCAAGAGAAGGCCGATGATCCTGGCCAGTTGCCGTAGCGTTAGTGCAGGTCAAGCCAATGTCCGGCGGATTTCTTTCTTGATGATCCTGACTTTGGAAGATGGTAACAGGAGTGTCCCTTCCACTGAATCGATGGTGAAGCCCAGAAACTCCAAGACTTGGGAGGGTTGTACCACCGACTTGCCCCAGTTGATGAGGAAACCAAGGTTGCCGAGTAATGTCTTTGTCCAAATCAGATGTTCCTGGAGTAAGGGTGGGTCTTGTGCCATCAGAAGCATGTCGTCCAAGTATATAATCAGACGTACCCCTCTGCTGCGTAGGAGAGCGACCACTGGCCGCATGAGCTTCGTGAAGCACCATGGGGCCGAGGAGAGGCCGAAGGGCAAGCATTTGAAACGCCATGTGGTCTCCTCCCATTGGAACTGGAGGAAATGTTGGCAATCCTCGGCCATTGGGACGGTGAGGCATGCGTCCTGCAGGTCGAGTTTGACCATCCAATCCTCCAAGAGGAGCAGATCTCGGAGGGAGTGGATGCCCTCCATTTTGAAATGGTGGTACGCTACAAAGGTGTTCAGGGGACGTAAGTTGATGACCGGACGGACACCCCCGCCTTTCTTGGGCACCACGAAAAGGTTGCTTAGAAAACCTGAAACCCCTGGATGCGTCTCTATGATTGCACCTTTGTCGGCCAGGGATTGTATCTCCACTGCGATTAATGCCCTGTCGTGGGTGGAGGAGACTATGTGTCTGGGGAGGGATATCTGGACAGGTGTTTGTACAAATTCTATGGCATAACCCACTACAGTTTGTAGGACCCAAGTATCTGAAGTTAACATTCGCCAGGCATCGATAAAGTGGCCTAACCTGCCCCCCACCAACGTTACTGAAGTTAGTGATGAAGGAAGTGGACTTACCATAAGGGCGTCGGCCATAGGAAACGCTTCTGGATCCACGAGCCTGCCAGGGTCTTCCTCGAACTGGGAAGAATGGAGAGGACTTGGGTACCTCACTCTGGTAACGTGACTGGAAGGGGCATCTAGAAACCCGGTACGAGCCCCGGGAAGAACGGCCGGGCAGACGGCCCCGATATCTGCCGGCCCCGCCAAAAACTCTATGGGAGAATACCTTTTTCATATTGGCTTGCGCCTTGTCCAGAGCAGTAAATGTGCCCACATAGGTACCCAGCTCCTTCACAAAACTATCCCCAAAAAGAAGGCCCTTGGCCTGTGGCCCAAGGCAACTAGCTTTGGCTCGATCTTAATCAATATAGCCTTTCGCCTCTCAGTGGCTAGAGCCACGTTGGCATTTCCAAGAAGACATATGGCTCGCTGTATCCAGCCCCTGATAGCTAGCAGGTCTATGGGAGCACCACCTGCCAATGCCGTTTCAACCATGTCAAATATCTTTGCACTGGGTCCGAGGACATCCAGGATCTTATCCTGGCAATGGCGAAGTGCAAAGTCTAGACCCTTCTTCGCCTTCCACCCAGTTTTTCCCAGGAACTGGGCAATCTTAGGGTCCACTACAGGGGCGATACATATTAAATCTGGGGGCGTGGGCATTCTGCCCGCATCTTACTTCTTGCCACCTTATCAAGGGGTTTCCTGATCCGTGCGGCAATATATTTTGCCACGTGGTCCAGCGGGAACCATTCAGTTGATCTTGGGTGTTGCAGACTATCAGGGTCAAACAATGGTTCGCCCTGTGGGTCAAGGAGGATGAAGCCTTCCACACCGTCCTCGTCCTTATTCCCAGACATAGATATAGCGCTGTGGTCAGGGAATAGTGTGCCCAAATTGAATGAGTCCTCATCATCAGACTCGCTCCATGCCTCCTCCTGTTCCGAATCTGACTCGGATGATTCCACTTGGGCTTTTGCCCTCTTCCAACTCCGCACCGATTTTGCCCGGTGGGTGGCTCTTTGTTGTGGTGCAACCACATTATCTTTGACAGGACGTTCCCTGTCTGTCCGTAAAGTTTTGGAGGCTTCCTCGTCCATGTGGCGAGATTTTTTGGCAGGTTTGCGCCCACTGGCTTTGCCTGTAATGTGCTCCGTAGGGTTAGGAGCAATGTGAGTAGAGGCCCGCTGGGCGGCCAAGAGGGCATGGCTAATAGAGTGGGACAGAGTGTCCGACATAACTCCCATGGCTGAGTAAACAGCTTGGGTTACGGATTTCGTCATAGTGGCATCCAGGAGAGAATGAAGCTCTTCCGAGTTCAACTGCTCCTGGTCTGTCACATCAGTGACAGTTAAGCCAGCCGGTCTGGGGACAACCTGGGGGGCAGGGGGTATATTAACCCTAATGGGAGAATCGCCGGAGGCCATGCCCAAATCCTTACGAGATTGCATAACTAAATAGCACTTCTGACAGTGGTTGTGGTTAGGTACAAGTATATATTATTTATAAATAAACCAAGAAAAAAAAAGGGGGGGGGACCCAAATAAACTATTAGAGTGACTTCCCTGATACTAGGCAAAACTGGGTATTAGTAATGTACCAGCAGTATGGGTACAGAATACCAAAGGCACCAGAAAGACCATACAGCAATATGAAAAAGGCAAGCTCACCAAGTGTTCCCTCAGGAATGGCTCCTGGGGACACTGGTGAGCTGCCCAGTAACTGTGCTGTCCAATCAGCACTCACTCCCACCCCCACAGGCTCCAAAAAGCCCGGGAACGAAAACCGCGGCAAAACCGCCAACCGCAAAATGGCCGCTGTGATGCGCACTAGCGTTGTGCGCATGCGCGAACGGCGCCAGCCGCGGTTACAGCCGCGAACCGGGGGGGGGAGAGGGGGGCTCCAGAGGAAGATCTCTGAGGCACGAAAAACAGACTGGGCGGCAAGAGCCTCCACACGGAGAGCTGCTAGCCACCCTGACTCAGTAGGTGATCATCCACCTGAGTGAGCCAGCGATGGGAGGGGAGGGAGGGTTGAGGGATTGGCTCTAGGTGAGGGACAACCAAGAGCCAGCTGGAAAATAAAGTGTAGAAACAGGGCAGAAGCCCAACAGCAAACAGAAAACAAACAAATTAAAAATTTAACTGCCACAACAAAATGAATAAATATGACAAACACATAGGTAGCATACAGAGAAAAAATAAAATGTACTTAGCTGAGGAAGGCAGCAGCAAGAAAGAGGAGTGGCTTAAGGTCACATGGGGAGCTGAGAGTGCTGAAGGCATGCTGATTGGTTGTATTGTTTTAGGACTAGCCCTTTGGGGCATGTTTACATGTTTGATTTGTTTCTCTAAAATAAATTTTTCTTGCTGCTGAGGAATAAAAGAAAGAGAATAAGCATAATATGAGCCTCCGTGTCCTTAAATAAAATTGACATTAGGCAGCCCGGAACAGAGTATTGGTCACAAGTAGTGATGTCCCGAACGGTCTATATATCATATATATAATGCCATACTAAGTGTATTTTTATATTAATATGTACTTATATTAATATAAAAATACACTTATAATTAAATTACACACGTATATATATAATATATATAATAACTATATATATTGTATATATATATTATTATAAAATATAAATAATAAGTAATTTAAATTAAATAATTTTTTAAAAATAATAATAAAAAATGTAAAAAAATTATATATCTATATGAAATTTTATTCTAACTGTATTTTAAAATTAATATATATATATATATTTATATCAAAATACACTTAGAATGAATTTGTATTTATATCTATGTATATATAAATAAATAAAAATAATACGAAATATACATATGTCCATATACAAAATTACATAAATAATTATATAAATATACACGTAGACTTCAAATATATAAATATGCATATATATTTAAATTCTACGTGCGTATTTATGTAATATTTTTACATAATTCAGTAATTTTATTGATTGCAATTTGAGGGACCTGCCTGCCAACCCAGGCCGAAATTCCAGAGAATTTAATTTGCTAGCACTGTATTTTACCCTGTAACGTTCTACGACACCCTAAAACCTGTACATGGGGGGTACTGTTTTACTCGGGAGACTTCGCTGAACACAAATATTAGTGATTCAAAACAGTAAAACATATCACAGCGATGATATTGTCAGTGAAAATGACTTTTTTTGCATTTTTCACACACAAACAGCACTTTTACTGATGATATAATTGTTGTGATACGTTTTCCAGTTTTTAAACACTAATATTTGTGTTCAGCGATGTCTCCTGAGTAAAACAGTACCCCCCATGTACAGGTTTTATAGCATTTTTGAAAGTTACAAGGTCAAATATAAGGGTCAAATATTTTTACATTGAAAATGGCCAGGTTGGTTACGTTGCCTTTGAGAGCGTATGGTAGCCCAGGAATGAGAATTACCCCCATGACGGCATACCATTTGCAAAAGAAGACAACCCAAGGTATTGCAAATGGGGTATGTCCAGTCTTTTTTAGTAACCACTTGGTCACAAACACTGGCCAAAATTAGCATTCAATTTAGTTTTTTTACTTTTTTCACACACAAACAAATATGAATGCTTATTTTGCTTATAGTGTTTTCGACTAAAAGGCTACTAAAAAAGACTGGACATACCCCATATTGAATACCCTGGGTTGTCTACTTTAAAAAAAATATGTACATGTGGGGTGTTATTTAGAGATTTATGACAGATAATAGTGTTACAATGTCACTATTGATAAATTTTAAAAATATATGTTTTGAAACCGCAATATCCTACTTGTACCTATAGCCCTATAACATGCAAACAAAAGCAAAAAAGCACGTAAACACTGGGTATTTTTAAACTCAGGACAAAATTTTGAATCTATTTAGCAGTTTTTTTCATTCGCTTTTGTAGATGAGTAAAAGATTTTTCAAGTAAAAGTAAAAAAACATGTATTTTTTTCAATTTTTCATCATATTTTTAATTTTTTTTAAATTAAAATACATGAGTTTATATACATAATGGTATGTAAAGAAAGCCCCTTTTGTCCTGAAAAAAACAATATATAATTTGTATGGGAACAGTAAATGAGAAAGCGGAAAATTACAGCTAAACACAAACACCACAAAAGTGTAAAAATATGCCTGGTCACAAATGTACAACATCGCAAAAACAGTCCAGTCCTTAAGTGGTTAAAAAAATAAATAAATAAATTTATGCACTACAAATAGTTGTTGAGTGAAAGGAGCGCATGCTTTGTAATGGCACAGCGCCCCCTTCAGGTTAAAAACCCGGGTCTCTTGTGCCATTCACAAGATGGCGCTTGACTTTTTTTTTTTTTTTTTTTTGGTAACAGCGAATGGCCACGTCACGGCAGCGCCAGTCACAACATGGACTCCTGACAACCTCGGAGAGCAGCCGCCTACGGAAGTGGCTGGAAGGGAAGTCTCGCGAGATGTGACTGTGCTCCCGGAAGCTCCACGTCAGTCAGACAGACAGCGAGCGAGAAGGACCGGAGATATGGTGAGAGACCGGAGAGTGGGCCTGGCAGTGCCCAGCCTGTACCCACCCTGTACCCGGGGGGCATTCAGTACTGTATAGGCAGACAGGGGGCCCTGCTGGATTCACTGGGGGGTGGAGAGGGGGGTGTTAGTCTAGATATGTACAGACACATACATTGCATGTATCATACATGTACAAATGGGTCATGTATGTAATGTCTGTCTGTCCATGGCTTCCAGCTTGCTCTGTGTGACCCATGCTCTTACTGTGCTGAGCAGAGTGTGTTACAGAACCAGCTTTACAATGCAGTATAGTGAGTTATTAAACCATGCCAGCAAACATGTCTTCTCTAATTAAAGTCTAACATGAGGGCTACCTGACTCTTTTATTTCCTTGTTTTGTTTTGTTTTGTAATTTGTTATTTAAATTCCCACAATTTGGTTTTCAGAAAATAGTGGAGTTGTGTCTCCTTGGTCTACAGGGTGGTGTTTTGTGTCCCTGACTGACAACATTGATTGACTCTGTGTATCTGGAGGAGCCTATCAGAGACTAGGAGAATTAAAGTTTATTATCATAAGGGCTACTTGAAGTTTTGTAGAATGTATCATCACCTTGGGAAAAAGACAAAACCATTTTGTAGTGGTGAATTGCAACCAGAATTTGGACATAAAATATCAGATTTGCACCAAAAAAAAAAAAAAGAAAGAAAAGAAACTAACTAAAATCTTTCTGACTTGGCTGATGTCACAACTAAGCTAACCTTTAGGGTAAAATAAGTGAATAAAACAGTAAAATAGAGATTTTAGTCACAGCTGGGCAGTGTGTAATGGCACAGTAAAGTAATGGAAATTGTCTGTATTATTGGTACCAAACTGTTTTATTTTTTATTCTTTTAATAAAGATATATTGTGTAAAAGAGGTTGTGAAAAAAATCTTCAACTTGGCTGTAGTAAAAACTTGACAGTTTTATCAAAAACTTTACAATTCGTTTTCCAATTCACTAAAATTTGCTGTTTAGTGGATATACATCTTGCACGGATTTAGATGCTAAAAACCTTAGATATTTTGGTTCTTGCTCATTACACTTCTGTCAGACAGTACCATAATTCCTCTGCTTACAAGATGTATACACACACCAGAATTTGACTTGCATCTGTTCAGTATGGAAGTAACAAAAATTGCATGGGTTTGGGTTGTATCGGATATGGCATAGTAAACCACTGGCAGGTAGAAAAGAGTGTAGTTGTACCTCCCAGGTAGAATTGGTATACAACTGTGGTGTTTTAGGTCCCTGACTGACAACATTGTATAAGCATGAATCTGTGTATCTGGAGGAACACATCAGCGACTCAGAACTTCCCAAATGATGTTTGAAATGTAGAACACTTGTTCTGCTATGAGTTTTAAATTACTTTTGTTACTTATATTTCTATTTTCTTTTATAATCTTTGCAGCCTCTGCGACTTGACATCAAGCGGAAACTGACCGCTCGGTCTGACCGAGTAAAAAGTGTTGACTTGCACCCTACTGAACCATGGATGCTGGCAAGTCTGTACAATGGTAGCGTCTGTGTATGGAACCATGAGACACAGGTAATGTGGATTTAAACTGATGCAAATCAGTCATGATGTAAAATTTCAAATTCAGTCTCTTCTGTTTGGAGCCAAACAGGCGTGAGTTGTTTTAACTAAAAAGCCTATTGCTTTGTTGATTCTGGGGATTGTTGCAGTCTTTCTTCACACACATTCCTAATGTCCTAGTTCACAGAGGAAATTGCTGTTAAGAATGATTTAACGAAGAACTGCTTTAAATCTTCTTTGCCAGCGTCATAAAAACCCTGGCTAATTTCATAAATGCTACTGATATTTGAAGTGAGCTTGCAATATTGTGACTAATATCTACCGATTTTTAGTTCCTAAGCTTGATCCTTGCTAAAATAGCCAAGCACTCCAGCCTACTTTATTTTCAAATGTCTGAGATTTTTATAAGTTTCCTCTAGTAATATGTCTTATTTGTTTCTAGACTTTGGTCAAAACCTTTGAAGTTTGCGATCTTCCTGTCAGAGCAGCAAAGTTTGTGGCCAGAAAAAACTGGGTGGTCACTGGAGCAGTAAGTGAAATAAAATCTGTGTTTTATGTATGTACATTTGTAGAAGCATTTCACATTCTAGAACCTTAGAGGTTGCAAAATCACAAAACAATTTATGTAGGGTTATTTACATTCTCTTTTATTTTTTTTCTGTAATCAGCATCTTTTACTATTATCACTAAAATGTAATCTAAATATTTTTAATAGGTAGTGAATCGCATTAAACAAACATACAGTAAAATGATGTATTTTAGAATAAACTGATCCAAAATTCACTGTATATGTTAGTTGAGGTAAAGATGTCATAATCAAAAGAGAATTATGATGATCTACAAGGGACACTCTTAATACTCGTAATTCTGTAAAGGGTTACAAATAATAGCTATTATGAATAACTAGATGATTTTATATAATGTGTACACTAGTTTGTTTAATGCATTAAAGAAGTA